GAGAGAGAGAGAGAGAGAGAGAGAGAGAGAGAGAGAGAAAGAATGAGAAAGGATGAGAGAAGGAGCCGAAGGAGGAAGGAGTAGAAGCGACGAGCCGGGCTCTCTCGCACGGCCACGAGTGCAGCTCGAACGAGTCTTTCTGCCTTTTCGCGGAGGCAATCGAGTTTGCACGGGAAGAGGACTGCCTCTCTCGCGAGACCCGTTCCCGGCTACCGCCCGTCATCGCCGCACCTTACTCCCGATATCCCGATGTCGCTCCTCTGCACCGGGGAATCGCTAACTTCTTCTTCACTACTACTGCCGAAGAGGAAAACTCCCTCCGTCCCCCTATATTCCCGGCAAAACGCGTGAGACACTGGCGAAAGAGCAAGAGGAAACTTGCGCGTTATACGACGAGGGATGTAACGAAAGAGATCGCTCATACCGGGATTAGTTAAAATTTAATCAATCCTCCTGAGAAGTTCACCGAGAAGAACTACGTTCGAGGTAGCGATTAACGTATTTACGGTAAAGGAATCGGCGGAGAAATTAGGCGAGGAATGAAAATGCGGGAGAGAAGAACGGGAAGGAAACTTTTTTTCATCCATCGCAATTTCGATTTCGTCCACTTCTGATCTCGCGTCTTCGGCGTCCTCGGCTAATGTCCGCTAATGCGCAATGGAATCGAAGTAAGTTTTTGAGTCTCGGGTGGGGCTCTCTCTCGGCGATCGCAAAGCAAAGGTCGGCGAGCGAAATGCGATGGTGGACCCGCAGTAAATGAGTTCGGGACGCGAGTGGACGACGCGATAGTGGCGAACATGGTGCCGTAGCGTTCGTGGGCTTCACCTTGCTTCACCGAGAAAGTAATTGAGTTTCGACTGCCGCATTAGAACGTTATTACAGAACTGGGTTCGTATAAAATCCTCGAAAGAACTCGATCGACTGCACGAAAAGGCGAGGCTAAACTATGTATAATCGAGAGATTACTAGTAATCTAAGATAACTCTATTTTAGTTCGTCCTTATCTCAAGACCTTAGGTAATTAAGGACCTTAAGAAGCTAATACGGCTCTCTAATTAGTTCATGACATCTTAAGATTGTACTTAAGACAGACTTAAGTATAAGAATCGATCATAAATGCTGACTTAAAGATTTTTGTGATCGTAAAGTATGTATTTCTATTATTTCGTTTAAGCGTAGAGTTTTCAGTGTTTTTAGAAGATAAATTTGTAGAAAATAAATATACTGTAAGTCACACAACGTATTTATGGGTGTTTCACCAGTTTTTTAATGTAGAAAAAAAGCAATTAATCGCCGATTAATCTAAATCGATCGAATCGCATACAGCGAGGGAACAGATCAAAGTGTGCGTTCAAGACTTCGCACGGTAAGCAGTTTATGAAATTGATCTCGCAAAGTGTCACGCGTCGATGGAAAATTTCAAGTTCCAGATAATTCGCGAGCAAGCTCTCGAAGCAAACGATACTCTCCGAGTAACGGCTGCGCACATGCCTGTAAAGTTCGGGAACTAAGGTAATGATCGCACGAGTGCGATCGAAGGATAAAGTTCACGAATGTTAGCAGCAGCGGCAACGGCGATGGCGGAAGAGAAGAGCAAGCGGGAAGCGGTAAAGATATCGTGGGGGGTAAGGATAACGAGGAGCTCGCGTTTCGTGCAAGTCGGGGGAAACGAAGTTAGCCGCCTCCATCGGCAGACACGGTCCACCGGGAACGGATCTTTGGTAAGTTCCATTAAACGCGTTACGTACCGAGGAGAGGGAGAAGAACTCCCGAGGGGCAGCCAGGGAAACTTGCCGCGGCTATGTCCGCGGTGGCTGCGATCGCGTAGGACGTAATTTCAAGATCTCGAAACTGAAACAGCCGAAATTTGCCAAGAACAAGGGATACGCGAACGAACGGAGGGGAGGGTCTTGATTGTTATCCAGTCAAACATAAAGAACAGATGGCTACTTACACCCAAGATATTCTCGAAATTTGAATCAGTGAAATTCAATTGAAAAGGAAAGGAGGTTTGCGTAGCGAAAGTATAATTGAAACATCAATATTCGCACGTTTCAATACTACCTACATTGCATTTATATACTAAAATAAGATTAGCTAGATGAGATTACATTGAGTTGTTATTGATTAAATTTCACCGTCAATTCATTGATTAGCAGTGGTGTAATTGGGACCAATGTGATTATCCGCTGATTCTCAGAAACCTGATTTAGAAAACATTTATAAATTGATATAAATTATCCTTTATGTAAGAAATTAAATCTTTTTTTCTCCCATAATCGTCGAAAATATGTAATAAATTAGGAGGAATTAGGAGGAAAGAGAGGGAGAGGACTCGAATTCAACGTGAGAAGCTCTATTATTCCATTTTTCACTAATTTCTAGTGTTTAAATTCCCCGCCCGTAATCGGAGCTGCTCCAACCGTGCTCTCGTGTGCATTTTATTTTACATAAACGCTCCAAAACCACACTGTATTAAATAAGGCGGGGCGCCGCAAGTTTGCTGCGTCGAGTTCGTAAAGGCGTCTCTACATCTCTCGAGCCGCGCCGACCGTCCCCAAAAGCGCGACGAAACGATCCCCTTTTAATCCCTGGACGCTAACTACCGGCACCTCGGATGATCTTGCAATTCGGAAGATTGGTCCGCATTACGAAATTATCGTTATTCCCCTCTACGAAAGGAGAGAATGAGAGAGAGAGAGAGAGAGAGACCGCGGAGAGGGCGGCGAGCCATCGAGGTGCCCGAGGCGCGCCAAGCTTTTTTTCAGTTAAAATATGGAAAACGTTCCGGGTAGCCCGTGTGGATGATCTTCAGAAACGCATAATGGGACTGGAAGGCCAATCTTGGCTCCGTTAAATCACGTTCGCAACGATCGGGACGAGGTCCCGAGTGCACACAGAAGAATCCTTTATCCGAGCAAACAACATCCATCGCCTCGAGACACTGACTTGGTGCTCGTAAGAGGGGAAAAAAAAGGGAGGAGCGAAGAAAAAGAAAATTAAAAATGTCTTACCGTGAATCTCAATGCGACGAGGAATTATATCGCGATTAAGGACAGAAGAGAAACTAAAGAACTTAATTAATGTAAGTGGACCTAAAATCTCTTCCCCTCGTTTTCATCTGAATCACACTTGGAATAGAATAAAATGAGTTCGAGAGGAGTGTAAGAGCAAGAGGTCGTCAGAATTGTAAAAGAACGATTTTGATCGAGTACCTAGAGATTTAGCTATCGAAAGAATTATGTAGGAACGTTCGAAATTCTGGTTGCCAGAACGTCAAAAGTTTTTCCCACCGTTGCTTGAGATTCCTACGTAATTATTTTGACGGTCCAACTGAAATTATTTTCAGATCTGCATCTAACTTCCTCAGATACTTTTAGCAGAATCGTTCTTTCATGAAGAATATTAAACACACATAAAAGTTTCGCTGATGTAAAAACGATCTCTTCGATCCTTATGCCGCAGCGTGTATATCGCGATATTAAAAGAGACGTTAAATAAGAACTAGAGACTCTCTTATCTCACGAGAGACTGCAAAGAGACGAAAAAAAAGATGCGGGCGAATTATATAAAATAACGATCTAATATGAGTTACAGTAGATGAGGAACTCGTAGCTGCCACGTGATCGGTCGCTAGGATAGACGTGTGTAAGTATAGCGACGCGTACGCAATTAGTGTCGTGGCAATTTGATCTCTTTCTCTCTCCCTCTCGCTCTCTCTCTCGCTCTCTTCCTTTCGTATTCAGCGTCTCCGTGCAATAAATCACGCGGCCGCCGCGCCGTGCCGTGCCGCGAAATTACGACCGGAGCGTCAGGAAACGTCGACTTGATGCGAACTAACGTGTCTCTTACCTTCGTTTCTCCGTTAGTCGAGAGAACGACCAATGTTTCAGATCAGGACAAAGGAGTGTTTGTAAAGTTAATACGGCGTCTCACCAATTTTCCAAAAAAAAAAAACAAAAAAACAAAAAAAAACAATAATCTTTCCGTTTCTTTATTTTATGATTTTACGATATTAAAAATATGCCATTTTTTTTTTATCTCGATAGAGGAACTCTAGAATTGTGAAATGCGCGCTATTGGAACTGTCATCATTCTTGTATCGATAGAATGGCGTGTAAACTTCACAATCTAGACAAAAGAGATATAAAATGACTACAATCGTACTAAGATCTTTCCCGCAATTTAATTAATTCATATTAATTTATTTCAGCGATATCACGTTACAATTATCTCCGCACAACCTTAATTTACTTTAAACAAAGGTATTCGCGGATAATTGAGGATACTTTACACCAAATTGTTTCAACCTAACAAAACGCAACGACGATCGACGAGATGAAAGAGTATTTTAATTTTCAGCTTAAAAGAGGTGGCTTTAGTAGACGCGAAGATAATGAAGTTATCCGCGGTTCAAGTTGACGATAACCGATCATCGAAGAGCTCCGCCTTCTCGAGACAATACGTTACGATCGACCGATCGGTCGGTCATGTGGCAACAGCAGTGCGGGCGGTTTAACTAACTGCTTTGGATCCTACCTAACCCGATACATCTGGCTAAGTATACATCCGAGAGTGGCAATCGGACGCGATGCATCGCGACCTGAGGTGTCGCTGCGGACTATCATCTCGGCTTGATTAGCCCTACGTAGGATAGGCAGAAGAAGGTAATGAAGAAGAGAATAGAGAGGAGCGGACGAACAGCGAAGGAACGAGAACGGATGGACGAGCGAGCGAGCGAGCGCTTACCTTGTTCCGCCTGGGTCCCTCGCGGGCAGATTAGTAACAGCAGCAACGGCAGAAGGTGGGCAGCGGAAGCAGCAACGGCGGCGCAGGTGGCTAGGAGGCCTGCTACGCCCGCCATATTGAAGGGGGCCATTCTTATCGCCGTGTGGGCCCCACTGCTGCCGCGGTGGACGGCCGCCGGTCCTCTCACGATCCGTGCGAGAGGATGCAGCACACCGGCCAGCGTCGTCACTCTCGCCTCCTCATGCCTCCCCTTGCGCTTTGCGTCGCGTCGTCTTGCGCGTCACGGCAGCCACTGATTGCCACCACCACCACCACCCTCTTCGTCGGCACCACCACCTCCGTCTTCCTCACCGGCCACTACTTTCCCTGCCCGCTTATGCTCCAGCTTATCGCTCCGACGGCCGCTTCTTATTTATCTTTAGAATTCTTCCAACGGACTGATGACACAGCAATAGCGATCACGCGTTTCTTCGATATTTCTTGCCTCAATAAGGAGGCTGCGTGATAACGTATATATATTTACGAATGTATAATGTCGCCCAATAGTTTATATCACAGAACTATCGTCTTGCTTCCTCTGTAGTGCGTAGCTCCTTTTAATAGTAAACGGAGATCGATATTTTTTGTTTGTTCCACATGGCGATACGATACGTGCTTTTACGGCTCCACTACTGGATGCTTGCTGCATCTGAAAGAAATAAAGATAATTCATGTTAATTAAAATATAAAAGTACCATTTTCTTCTATTTGCGTATTATTTGTACCTTCCTTTGTTTCCAAGGACATGGTATATATGTAGACGAGCAACATCGTTTCTATATCGTACGAATAAAAAAGCAAAACCAGTTGGTTTGTTTTCTCGAATAATCTTCTAATGGCATCTTTGAAAGGCCACACACCATATCGTTTTCGTAATTCTCGTTGAGGAAGGTGTTGCTTTATCTACGATGTTGCTGATCTATGCAAAATATTTTCATTTCTTTTTCATATATTGACATTGCAAGTCAAATAATGCATTGCAATTCTTGAGGTAATGTATAGAAAATATATGATAATCCGTCTAACAATAAAATGCCATTAAATATAGCACTAAATGTTAATGTATAAAAAAGTCGAAGAAAATGAGTCGCGCGTCGTTCCTAATATTCCGCATTGTTGCCCTAAAAGTGCCAACCTTTCATTACTTATCTATACATCCGATTCACGTTCGTGATGTTTAAGAATCATTTCATCTTTGTTATTTATAAAATGTTAAACAAGGACAAATGACACTCACGAGCGTTGCGAGCGTAAATCGGTCTGCAGTCTAACAAACTAGGTCTAACAAACTGGCGAGAAAAATGTGTCACATATGTGTAAGAGAAAGAAGGTAAACCGGATGACATATCTCGAGTTCAAGGTCAACTCACATTTGTGAAGGGTTTCAATGGGGCACCGGCCGGAATTCATTATTCTCTAACGGCCAATTATCGTGGAAAAGAAAATAGTGCTAGTGAGGAGAGAGTACGAAAACAGCGAGGGGATGAAAGAAATAGGAAAAGGGACGAAAGCCCCGTACAAAACTTTGGGGTTCATCACGATAGTGGAAGGGTGTCGGGATAAGGCGAGACGGGAGAGCAAGGGGTTCCAGGATCAATACCATGCGTTTATCCATCTCCCTCTCGCTTCCTCCATCTTCGATCTCCGTCCTTCTCTCGCGCTCGTAGAGAACGCAACACGACAGGAAGAGAGAAACAGAAAGGGGGAGGGAGAGAGAAAGAGAGAGAGAGAGAGAGAAGGGGGGGGATCGACCATCCCTTTTCGACCAACTGCGTCTTTTGCTTTCGCTTTGATAGGCCCTAGGGTCTGGCCGGCGTCTCGCCATTCTTCGACAAAACGAGAGAAACGAGACAGAGGAGGAAAGACAGAGGGTGCCGCGTGCAAGGAAGCGCGGGCGCGAAGATCGAAGTAGGAACGCAATTCTAGAGTGCCGAAATGTAAAGGGGTGAAAGAGAGCGAGTGCGCGTCAAACAAGTGTATAAAAGAAAGATAGGGAGAAGAAAGAGGTGAGGAGGGAGAATGGCAGAACGAGGAGAGGCAGAACGAGAGAGTTGGAAAGAGAAAGAGAACGGCGGGATAGGTATATACGCTTTAGTTCTTCTAAAGCGGGCAAAGACCTTCTCTCACTTCTTCCCTTTCTCTCCGACTCTAGTCAGGTCAGCCAAGATGCATCCGCAAAATTGCAGACTTCAGTGAAACGCCGCCGCCGCCGCCGCCGCCGCTGCTACTCGGCTCCGTTCAGCTCAGCTCAGCTTGGCGGACAGCGCCTCCTAGCTCGGCTACCAACCAGCTACTGCAGGTACCACTCGTTCTCTGCAGTTGCCCAAGTGATCTCGTGAAAAATTTAAGATGTCCTCCTTCTACCCGAGTACGCCGCTCTTCGAGTCTCCTCCATCGTCCTTTCTATTCCGCTACTATTTCCGCTTAAAAACGACTTCCTCTTCGGAACGACAGACATCCGTAGTGCTTCTTTTCATTCGGCCTTCTCTTTCATTTTTTTTTTTTATACGATCCGCTAGAGAATTGCCGAAAACAACCCTGCTCGTCTCAAGAGAAAGTACGAAAAAAGTACGGGAAAAAAAAAAAAGAAAAGATCGAAGTGGCAATGGAAGAGAGAACAAAAAAAGAGAGAAAAAAACAGAGACTGCCTGTAGGCGAGTACCTTTGAGACGCAGCTATTTCCTATTTTTTTTTTTCTCCTTGTTCGATTCCCGCGCGTCTCGTTACCGGTTACTTTTTCCTTCCTCCAAAAAGTCGACGTAAACACGACGGGGTATTCATTCTGTCTCTCCCGTGGATCGTTCACTAGGTAGGTGGTTGGCCACCTCCTTCAACGAAGGCCTCTCTTTCTTCCTCTTTGTCTCTCTCTCTCTCTCTCTCTCTCTCTTCATCTTGCCTCGCGTCCTCTTCCGGACCAGACCTCTTTCCGTATACTCACTACCCAGGTAGGTATGCCAAATTGCAAATTTCGGGAGGCAGTGGAGGCCTTCCGACTCGAGTGGCTCGTGAAAATTTTAAGCCTTGCCTCTATGCGATGCTGCGGCGTCTCCTCCAACGAGGAGCTTCGCGTCGAGTCGAGTCGCGACACTTGCCCGCGTCGGATCGACGCGAACCCACAAAAAGAGGAAGGTAGAAGAAGGGGGGGAGGCACAGCCGAGAGTGCGCCTCCGATACATATATACTATGTACAATGCCTCTCTTCGGCTTGCGGGAATATCTTCGAGTGCACTTGCTTCCTTTCAAGGTGAAAAACCTCCCTCTCCCTCTCCCTCTCCCTCTCACCCCCCCCTCCCCCAGTCTCGTGACGTCGCGTTCGTGTTTCCAACCCCATTCGCCACGAACGCCTTCCGACCACTCTTCGCACCCAACCCACCGCGGGAAACTTTCGCCGGTGCAGCTTAGCTTGGACGTTTTTATCCAGATTAAGACGCTTCCCGTCGTTGCTGTTTCACGGAGTTTATTTCGAACAAGTTTGTTATCCGAACGAAAGTCTGTCGGTATCTTCGAAACATGATGAATGGCACTTTGATTGTTACGATGTTACAAGGAAGGTAAAGATATATCACGCATAACGGAAGCCTATCACTTAATTCATGCCACTCAATCTTATAGAATTATATGCTTCATCTAACGGATCTTTCAGTTCTAAGACACCGCATTCCAGCAGGAAATTTTTCGTTTCGTCAATAATTTTTATAGAAAATGTCAATAATAAAAGGAAAGAAATGGAATTTTCAAGATGCTTGTGTGCGCGAGAGGTGATAATTAACGCATCGTTATAGTTTTGTTTCTAATCAATGACAATGGAAATCTGTATTTTCATTTCCTACGAGAAAAACATTCTTTTTATCTCTCACCCAGCATCCTTTTTTTTCGCTATTTAGAGAGAGAGAGAGAGAGAGAGCATTAAAATAATCTCGCGTAGAGCCACGTGCGAGTCCTCGCTCATCGTCTTTCTCCTCTTCTTGTTCTTCACCTTTCGGCGACTCGGCAGGCTCTCGCTTTCGCTCTTCTTGTTTCTAGCGTTTCGTCGGACTTTCCTCGCACCACCGCCGGCGCCCGTGACCGCCCCGGGACAAATTCTATTTCCGGTTGAATTTAAGACCCCCCGGAATACACGGATTTATTTCACCGACGTGCCGCGTGCAGCGGGGAGGGATGAGGAGAGGAGAGGAGAGGAGCGGCGCGGTTTTACTCCGGATCCGACGAGGCTCGTAAACGTAACAAAGAAAAGATGTATACTCCGGAGACGAGAGAAGCAACGCAGACACGAACGCAGGGCGAAGAGCGGAGGAGGCTTGCGAAGGGCGTAGGAGAAAGAGTAGTAGGTTCCTCGAAATTATTATACCTTGGACGATCGCCACTCTCGGAGCGATCTCGGCGCTATTATTTTTCCAAAACTACTACGTCTTCTACCTCGAACCCGATCTCCTTTCTCTTCTTTCTTTCTTTTTTTTTTTCCTTTTTCAAATTCTTTTTCTTGCTCGCCTACAGCCGACATTTACGATAGTAACGATCGTCCGGTTAACGAGTGACGGATAGACGCAAGAAGCGAGACAACTTCCATTCTTGATAAATGAGAGAACATCGTCGTTAAGGCATCCATCGCGTGATCGGGTCTACTTTTTAGAATCTCCATCCACGATCCGATTCGAGATTTTATTGCGACGTGCTTGTAACGATAAGAATTTCAAAACAATTCTTTGAGACATTATGTCATCTCTTTTTCTTTTATATCTTCCTTTGAATCTTCCATGCGCTTGTTTCAGTCGGTTCTATTATTTGTTTCCGCTTCTTTGATTTATACCGTTTGTATACTTACGTTTAGAATTTCAGTTTATGTTGACGATAAATAAGAGGGGAAAAAAAACGGGGGAAAAAAAAGATTGAGAGACGTAAAGAAGAATAGAAGAGGAAAGATTTCTTCAGCACTGCCGGATTTCCCTCTTTTCATAATTAAAATTCATAATACCGTCCGCCAAGCGCTGCTTGCAATTACCGCGTAATGAACCTTAATCAGTTTTCTTTTGTTACGAAACTATTCCGCCGCGTGTTAAATATGCAAGTGAGGGAAAAAAAAATGAAAGAATGCGATTTAACTGCTCTGTTATTCGCTGCAAGCTTGTAAATTTCATTCGCGTTCGCTTTATATAATTAGCCACAGCATTGCACAAATTAAATAGCTCGCATAAAAAGCGGCTAGATTTGTAAGAGCGAAACGCAAACGAATCCGCGGTATCGATACACAAAACCGCGCAAAATTTCGCAACTAACCTGGCCGTTTGTGCCTGGCCAGGTGAAAGTGGAGCCGGTGCGAGCTCCCGTAGTGCAGCATCGAGCAAGACCGTGTAGTCCACAACTGTGAAACGCAATGTGCGTCCCAGTCTCATTCATGTTTAATTAAGATTTTGCGCACCGTCACATCGCTGTCACGTCAATTGGGCTCAGTTACTCGATCGGATATGGCTTGTGAAGAGATTCAGTCGGATCGCTCGGCGTCGATGTGATTGGTAAACCTTCCTGGTCCCTTGTGCACGCGATATGTGTACTTGTTTAACAGACGAAGTATCCGCCGACTTCAGACCGTTTCGACTGCGTGAAATACAAAGAGAATATTGAACGCGCGCGTGTTGCAGATTCGCATGATCC